AAACACACGTACTTACTCGTGACCTTCGTAGCAGCTGGTACGCCGACAAGTAAATTGTACATGATCCTCACCGACGTCGCGTTACACAAAGTATTAGGTATTGCTGGTCATTATTGCCGAAGCAGTTGGAGCTTTGGGTAAGGTTATGTTTATGTTATGTTCCAGTGGCGAGGTGTTTAACTGTTGTGCGCATGCGAGGTTGCGAGGGGGAGAAATTACTGTCGATTCCGCAGTGCTAAACCTGGGGTGCTAACGGAAGGTAGATTTTTACTCGCCGTGTGTTGGATATTTGTTCCCTATTACACAGTTTTAAAGCAAAGGTTGGAGCAGCACCACCTCCCTCTAATTTTAGCCACGAGCTGCCACTACACAAATGTCTACGAACCTGCTCCAGAGAATGGATCAAATTTCCCAGACAAATTTCCTCCCTTTCTAATTAATGTGTTCCACTGTTGCTTATGTGTGTTAATGGAAATATCAAAGTCATACACAATAAAAACTCGACATTTTGCAATATCATCGAGTCTAAGCTTATTTGTTAATAAAATCTAATTTCTAGGTACTAACTTAGTATTAAAGGCAATCGGAATTAGAAGAGAGTTAGGGTGGTGAAACGTCACCTTGATGATCGCAAATAGTTAGCTATTATTAAATTTTTATTTAAAAGATCTAGTAGAATTAAAATATTTAAAGAATAATAAGGCGCCAGGTGTAGATGGGAACGTAATAGTAACATTACCTAAGAAGAGCGGCGCGGATAGGTGCGAGACATTTCGAACAATTAGCTTAACCTCCCATGCGTCAAAAACCTTAAGTAAAATTGTACAGAGGAGGACGGAAAAATGGCGGAAGAACTATTAGGGGAAGATCAATTTGGGTTTAGAAGAAATAGAGGAACGCGGGAGGCCATTCTATAGTAGCTATACGGGTAACAATAGAGAAAACGATAGAAAAAGGAAAGACTGCGTACATAGGATTTGTAGATTTAGAGAAAGCTTTTGACAATGTTAAATGGGACAAGATGTTAAATATACTTAAAAATGTAGGGATGAATTACAAAGATAGAAGAGTGATACTTAGTTTGTATAAAGAGCAACAGGCAGTTATAGAGCTGGGGATGCAACGTAGAGAAGTAAATATTAGGAAGGGAGTCAGGCAGGGATGCACACTGTCACCGCTACTTTTTAATCTATACATCGAAGACGCCATCAACATCATTAAAGACAGTACAACTGTAGGGATAGATGTGCAAGGGCAAAAGATTAGTATGCTTAGATTTGCAGATGATATAGCAGTATTAGCATCTAGCAAGGAGGACCTAGAGATAGCTTTAAATAAAATGGAAGCGGTACTGACAGATCAGTACTGTATGAAAATAAATAAAAGTAAAACTAAAATACTGATATGCAAGGGAAGAAAAAGTAGGGAAAGAGCGAATATAAAGATAGGAGACGAAAAATTAGAAGAAGTGGCTGATTTTAGATACCTAGGAAGTCAGATAAGTGAGGATGGAAGGAGTAGTAGGGATATAAAGCAGAGGATAGCGCAGGGTCGTGTCGCCTTTAATAAAAAGAAGTCACTTCTATGCTCGCGAACGGTTAATTTAGAAATTCGAAAAAGGTTGTTAAAGGTGTATGTTTGGAGCACGGCGTTGTACGGGTGCGAAACATGGACAGTGGGAGCGGCGGAAAAGAAAAGGTTAGAAGCGTTCGAAATGTGGTGTTATAGGCGGATGATGAGGATATCGTGGGTAGAAAAGGTTAGAAATGAAGAGGTATTGGAAAGAATAGGAGAACAGAGGACTCTATGGAAGTCAATAAAAAATAGGCGAGATAGGTTGGTAGGACACCTTCTCAGGCATGAAGGTCTAGTCAGAGACATATTAGAGGCAGAAACAGGAATTAGGAGAATTAGAGGTAGACCTAGATTAGATTACAGTTCACAAATAGTTAAGGATGTGGGCTGTTCTAGTTTTAGGGAAATGCGAAGTTTAGCTCAGGATAGGAAAGAGTGAAGGTGAGTGTCCAATCAGTCTTAGGACTGACGACCTTATGATGATGATGAAAAAGATCTACGCATATATGTTAGCATAGCAGGTTAAAATATTTGTATGGTAAACAGGTGTTGTGATGAAAATTAAAAAGGGTGACTTACTGAAGATCCCGTCTCGTGATTCGGGATCGTTATAGGTGGATTGTGGCCAGAAGCAGAAGATAAATAACCGGAGAAAGCAAAGTTCCCCTCTTAGGGAAAATAACGAGATAGAACACGCGTTCGAAACAACTATCAATTTTAGTTCGGCTCCGAAACAAACTAAATGTTCACCCTTAACCGCCAAGGGCTGGTTTCGAATTAATTTATGTTTATTAGAAACAAAAAATCCCGTTGGCTTCCTAAGTTTCCCTCGCTTGGGGGAATAATAACCGCCAAAGTTCACGTAACACGTGTTGACATTAGCCACCAACAGTTCACCATCTTCTCTCTATCTCAACTAGAAATGCGATCCGAGGATGCATTAACGTTGTTTATTAAACGTGAATAAAGACTAAGAAGTAATGAAATTATACGGTCTCAGTAATGTTACATTATTACTCACGAATGTGTATTAAATATACTCCTGTTTTGACATTATAGGATATAATGTTGCTAAAAAGCCCTCCCGGCCCTAAGGAAAAGTTGGGATATTCCCCAGAAGCCTGTTGCGTCATTAAAGCGCATGAACCTATACAGAGTGCTCATCACGAATGCTCTGATAGCTATGGAAATCAAATACGATAGGAAGAGATAGGAAGCAGAAACAGGACTAAAATCTACGTCCTGATGTTCTTGTGATGATGACGAACACGACGAGAAGTCTCTTTTGAAATTTACCTTGGATTATATTCGAACAAATTCAGTTTTTCGTTTTGATCATTTGGGAAGATCGAGATTCAATCTCCAAACTTAGGAAAAGTCAGGATATTCCCCAGAAGCCTGTTGCGTCATTAAAGAGCATGAACCTATACAGAGTGCTCATCACGAATGCTCTGATAGCTATGGAAATCAAATACGATAGGAAGAGATAGGAAGCAGAAACAGGACTAAAATCTTCGGCCTGATGTTATTGTGATGATGACGATCACGACGAGAAGTCTTTTTTGAAATTTATCTTGGATTATTTTCGAACGAGTTCAATTTTTCGTTATGATTATTTGGGAAGATCAAGATTCAATCCACAAACTTGGGAAAAGTCAGGATATTCCCTGAAAGTCTGTTGCTTCGTCAATGGACATGAACGTATACAAAATGCTCAAGAAAACTCTGATAATTATGGAAATCAATAACGAAAAAAAGAGGTAGGATAGTCAGATTTTAACATATGAGGGGCAAGTTAAGAATATACTAGAATCAGAGACAGGAGTAAAATCTTCGACCTGATGTTCTTGTGACAATGAAAAGTCAATTTTCGGTTATAACTATTTACTATTTGAACTGTGAAGTCACCCAATTGGGCACTTTTAACTGCCAAATATCGCACACCTAGTGAGATCTTCTTTAGTTTACCTTTCAGTTGGGCAGGTTGACCGCACTGCAGAAGTTGCTATTACTATTGTACCTATATACATAGGAAAAGGCAACAGTAACGAAGTGTGTGCCCTAGGGGTAATGTTCTTTTGATTGGGAGATGTTCAGTTTGGCAGTTTTTGGTACCCTATTGAGTTGGTTGTTACCTCTCCGTAGTAAGGGGTGGTTAAATCTCTCAATCTTCGTTTGGCGTTCAAGTGAAGGGTATTTTCAAAGACTACCCGTATTCGGTGCCCAATTGAGTTACGCCCTTGCACTCGGTTACCCCACTGTCCTTTCAAATTAATATAAAAGAACAAAATTGTGTCCACATGGAAACAAATTAGAGAAGTTACTCAATGTTTGTATTCATTCGTTGCAATTAGCTCTCTTTTCGGGAATTAGGGTAGAGCTACGAAGGGTGGGAGTGACAGAGGTGGTTAGAGTACATTAACTGTTCTCGCAAACGTTGGGGGTGGATACGAGGTAGAAATTGAACAAAACGTTCACAGTGAAATGCATCCGAGACAAACACGTATTTGCGAATGAAATTCATTCGCTTAATAAACGCAAATTATGCGAGACGGAATTAATGAAATATTTGCACATCTGCTGTTAGAACGGCGCTACTTCCACAACGGGAATACGGCGTACCATCCCCATTTTCTTCGTTTCCTTTACATAATTACTTATTCCGAGGCTTAAGTGTTCAAGTATGCGCCCCTTTCATGCATTATCTCTACTGGCGCGTGTCTCCTAATACATATAACCACCGAAGATAACCGTTAACGTCTCCGAAATTATAATTGAAGTGACAACAGAACTCACTTTTAATAAGTAACTGTTTTAGACATTTTTCTTAACCGGTCTCTGACTTTATTTTTAGCGATTCTTCCAGGATCAGAATGATATCCTTTTTATTTAATCTATAGGGTTCCGTACGTCCGAATGAAAAATGGAACCCTTATAGGATCACTCGTGTGTCTGTCTGTCCGTTATTATTTGTTAAAGCCGTTTAACCTGAATCATTTTTTAATTTCTTTTTGTTAAAAATCCTCATTTCATATTCATATAACAACTATACAGTTTAAATAACATAAAGTCTATTAAGTAAATATCTTATAAGGGAGACATCACCCTAATTGCACCCTTTTCTACATACATTTGATGACAAAATGTCTTATGAATGTAGTACATTTTTATTTCAAACGTTTTTATTAATTAAACAATGTTTTCATTAAATAAACAAAATAACGTTAGTGTGCTATGAAATGTTTTATATCAAATTATCAATTAAGAATAATTTTGCATTACTATAAGCCTTTGTTTTCTTTTGTTTCCCATTCAAATTTCTTTATTGAAGGATAACATGAGATTTGGGTTGCCTATATTTATTCTGGAAAAATCTTAGAAAGCTTTGACCACTGTGGAAAACTACTTGTCATGCGCTAATTATATCGGTGTTAGCGTCGGTAAGCTTGTCTCGGAAATTCGGGTGTTTTAATCGTGTTTTTCGTAGTTAAAAGTGTTCGTATTACCGTAAATTAGTGTCGAACTAACGTTTGGTGCATTTTAAACTGTCGCTGATATGGTTTTTAATTAGGTAAGCTATTTTTAACTCAAGATTGTCCATAAATGAAAGCTGGTGGTTGATGATTCGTTTTGGTTACTTTATTTTGTAATTTGTATTAGGATAACTGAATTCGATGGTTAACGCTGTATTTGTTATTATTATAAATGATTTTTAATGTTTAAAGCTCTGCTATTAAAAATCGATGGTACAGATTTTCTTATCGATTTTCAGATTATTCGTGGATGCAGCTAAAGTTTGCGAGAAATCGTGGTAGATGGCGTCAATGGTAAGTTTCCACCACAAATATTTATTTATATTTTCTGTAATTCAATTTATGTATATGACATCATAGACTACAACTAAATCTCTAGATTTTTATTTTTTAAATGTGGTTTTTCCACTCTGGTTTAAGGGATAAAAACCCCTTGCTG